GAGACATAGCTCTTCAATGCCGTGTAGATCTGACTCAGAGCATACAGTACGCCTCGAGTTGCGTCTACTAGGTGAGGCACGGCGACCGGAATGGACGTGCTCATAGTCGAGGGCGGCAGCGTCGAGAGGCGTCGAAAGTAGCTGTTGCGCTCGACTTCGACTGCACCATCATCTTCTTCCACGCCTCCACCTCCAGTCGCTGCATCCCTCACATCTTCTTGCAGTGAGCCAAGCGGTTGTGCAGCTCGAGCGGGTCGCTGGAACTCGGCACGCCGGCCTGACCCTTCTCCCATTCGAACGTCGGAAGGAGAATCGAAATCTGCTGCACCAACTGTAGCAGCCGTCGATAAGCTGAGCTTTCGTAAACCCCCACCTCCGCTACCCGTGCTATGTTGAGGCTGATGGCCACGAGAACTGGTGAGCCCCGCAGCCGTGGCAGCTGAGATGGATTGGGGCAAGTTCGGGCGTCTCCCTTGGAAGCCTGCACCTAGCACTGCCGTCTTCCTGCTCTGCAGGCCGACTACAGCGTCGGAGACTGCGTTCATGCCAGAGGTCTTTGTCAGCTCAGGCGCGCTGGCAGAAATTTCCATCTCGTGAGGCGGGGCGTGTCCGGGTGCTTGAGTAGTGTCTGGGGTCATTGAGGACATTCCAATCATGGATGAACCGCTTGTTCGAAGCTCCGGCAAAGACTTTTTGCCTCTCAACAGACTACCCCGATTGGGTCCGCGCGGTTGGCTATTCCCAGTCGCTTGCGCTACAGAGTGGGAATTATTTCGCCCATGGCCGAGGAGTGGGGACTCGGCGAATAGCGCTCTGCCCCTCTGCCCGCTGAAACTAGGCTCGCCGACATCGATCGATTCAAAGTTGAGTGGCCGTGCTCCCTTTTCGACAGCCGGTGATGTAAGAGGGGAGTAATGCCGCGGGATAGGCGGCACTTTTGGCGGCTCGAGATCGTCGAAGTCGTCAGGAGGGGGAGAAATTAGATTACGTTCGCCAGTAGTGGCATCCTCGTCCGTGCCGCGCCTTCTGCGTGTCGAAATGATCGATCTAGCTGGCGAGGAGCTGAGCTCATCTTCTGCCCTCATCATTTGTTGTGTGTGCGTCTCGTGTGATGCCGGAGCGGGAGTGGCCGTTGGCGTCTGTCGCGGAGCGAAGTCAGGAGGCGATCGATTTAGAGCAAGCACCTCTCCATGATCTGTCTCTTCGTCGCTGAGAAGTGCTGCGCTCGCCTCCACGTCCGCCGATCGAGCTGTACCTTGATCAGCACCTTGCGAAGGCTGAGCTCGTGTGTCTTGTGCGGTCGATGCATATACACTGCGCTGAGGAGTGCCTAGTAGCATTCTTCGTTCGGCGGGAGGCGGGGTGCTCGTCATGTTGAAGCCCATCGCTGCCTCAAGTCCTCTGCTCGAGCCTGATGGCAGGGCATTCTCTAGCCTTCGATCCTCATCAGCCTCGGGGTGCCTTGCCAGCCAGCTCTTGACTTGGCCTATCCACTCGACCATTTTGGCCTCCTCGGATTTCTTGCGGGATCGATCTGCGGCCGCTTTGTCGTCCTTCGGCGTCTTGTCACCCGCTATAGTATCCGATGTGGCAGCTGAGGAAAGGCCAGACTCGGCCCGAAGGTGACTGGCGCTGCACCCTGTCGCATTAGCTGCTCTCTCACGCACCACTGCGTAAGGCGTCTTTGGCGTCGTCGGCATGACGCTGATGTGAGGTGGCGGCCAAGTGATGGGATTTGCTTCGATCATTAGCGTCCTCAAGTTCTTCATCTCCGCTATCCAAGCAGGAAGTTTGCGCAACCTATTGTTCGCGATGGATAGGATTCGTAGCTGAAGCAGCCTGCCAGGCTCAGCTGGCAGCTTCCGAATCTTGTTACGACTAATGTCAAGTATCTCCAAAACCGGCAATTCGCAAATGCACGCTGGAAATACTGTGATGAGGTTCCAGCGCACGTTGAGATAGCGTAGCTTGTTCAGCTGCCCGAAATTGTCTGGCAGCCTGGTGATGGTGTTATAGCCCAGAGCAAGACGAATAATGTCACTTCCGATGAGATCCACCACCTCCCCAGGTATATTCCCAATCCTTTTGTGACACAAATCCAGAGTGTAGATGTCCAGACTAGAGATGCCGCCCTCTGACGGTGTGGCAAGCCCGCTTGTGGTGACACCTCGCTTTGATTGCGCCTTCAGATCCGCAACCAAGGTGAGGCATTCCGAATCACTGATTGGCTCGGCCGAGGTTTTTGAGCGGTCTTCCAGGAGTGTCCCGCCAAGTGAAGTCTCCTTGTCCCGAGCACGAGGCGGCGGCGGCGCCGATGAGCTGTGGATGCTGGTGTTGGGCGTCTCCACGCTCATGCTCAATTCAACGTTACTTTGGCCCCCCAAAGAGGATGGGTCTCGGAAATGATGACCCCCAGAGCTTGCACTATGAGTCTCGTACAAAGACGTCGACCCTACAAATTCGATCGTCTCCTGCTCGTCTTCAGCCTCGGCGTCATCAGCGCGGCTTGTCGGAGAGGCTCGTCCGGGCGGTCTAGGTGTGAGCTGAGATTGTGGACTCGCAAGCTGAGAAAGATAGCTTGAGGGCGACATTGAGTGGGAGTGGGAGTGGGATCGGGAGCGAGAGTGAGAGTGGGAAGAGTTGGATTGTGATTGCGAGCTTGTTTGCGAATGCGTTTGGGCGGTCGAAGGTCGATGTGTCGATTGTGCTGCACCGCGCACATTTGGAGGGCTGTAGGTCGTCATAGCGGCGATGCAGAGCTCTGTGATGTGCGGCACTGTAGGCTATGCTGCTCTTGGGCAGGACGTTGAAGCTCAGAGCACAGTTACGAGGAGAGAGAGAGCGTGTGTCACCGGACGCCCGCGCCCTGGAGCAGTGCGATGCTGACAGCTGGCATCGGCTCGTATTTGAGTTGCAAGTAAGGGTTAATTTTGGACACGCACACAATCGCCTTTGACAGACAAATTTGGAGCGAGTGCTGGCGAGGATGCGATGGTGGAAGTCGACAGTCAAAAGCGCTGAGCTGAATCAAGCATCTTTTGAATGGATGTGCTCACTTTGAATGGACCGCGTCCATAGTCAAGAATGCGCGAGTCATGAGTCATGAGTCATGAGTGGCTGTGTTCGATGCGCATCACGTGGAGCTTCCTTGGCCGCTGTAACGCAGACGGCCTTGATGAGCTCCGCGCTCGAGATGACCTGCCGTTCCTCCCTTTGGCTCACACTCAAGACTCAAGACTCTAGAATCTGTGTCTGGCTTCTACTTTGCAAAAGCCTACATGGCCACACTCCTGCAAGCAGGTGTTTCCCGAGAAGTAGGTGTGCCCCTTCGATGTATGCTCGCTGTACGAAGAGTCGCGCGCAATGGCGTTCGAAGCGACTCGCAATGAAGCAATGGCGAGGAGTTCCCAACACGAGT